GTTGTGATTGTTGCAAGGAACATTATTTATCTAATAATTTTTTAATACTATTAGTTTGTGATACATAATATATTATTTTTTCTGCCATAATAACTAACTATTTTCTGTACCCCTAAACAACCTATCGCGTACCCCTAGGGGTACGCGTACCACAGGTTGGGAATCGCTGCTCTATGGTATCTTGTTCTCTACATCTGGAAACCATTAAATGCAATGTTTTTTCTTATCTGTTTTAATTAATGGAGGAAAGGGCAAGGTTGTCAGTGACTCAAACCTTCACCTAATGTCATTGTTTGGTTGGGACCCTGCCTCCAGTGTTCCCACACTTGTTTTTGCCTCTTAGATTTACTTGCCGCCCCAGGGGATGGTAGCACTCGCTTTGGGAATCGCTGAGCTAGAGGCTGTATGTACTTTGTGGCTTTTGGCCAAGATGGTGAAAATGCATACTCTCTTCTGGCATATTTTCATTGTATAATGCGTAATTAAAAAGGAGCAACTTATAATTGAGATGTCAGCTATAATCTTTTTATCTTAAACAGAATTATTTGGCTAGTTTTACTGAAGAAAGGCATTTGGTTCTAGAGTAAATGACATTTAATGGTGGAACAAGTTGGAAAGTTATGAGCATTGTGTTATCTTTGTTGATTAAATTAAACTGTCTTTTGTTTGCAGATGGTGAAAATGCATGCAGATATCTTGTCAAATTCTATGGTTACTCTACAATTAAAGCTTGAAATCAAACTAATTTCTTAATATGTTAATTTGGAAAACATTTGTAGAGAGATGTGGCCATTCATGGTTAAAAAATTGTTGAATGATGATTTTTTTGGATACTTAGCAATTTTGGTTTTTGGATAATTGGTTCTCTATTGAGTTACTAAACTCATTAAATAATAAATATTGGAGGGAAGGGCAAGGTTGTCAGTGACTCGAGGACAGAATACATTGAATGGAAATATGGCTGGTTGGATGTTTCTTCCTTTTCTGTGGATTATGTATTAATGATAAACCAAATATTGCCATAATTAGTCTGATTGATAATTGAGCATGGTATCAGTCTTATTTTTGTTTGCTGGATTGAGTTTATGCTTTATGATTGTAGTATAGTGATTTTACTTTTTGGAACTTCCTGAGAGCATCTGTTGTGCAAGGCTACCCTCAAGGAGGTGTTCTTTCACCCTTGTTGTGAATGGTCTCTTGAAGTATCTTAGTTTCTCTGAGTTGTAAGTCCAGGGATATATAGATATTCTGCTTTGTACTGAGAAATTTCCTGTATTTTGTCTTCTTCACAGAAGCTTAACCTGTGTTCAGAGCTATGCAGGCAGCTTACATATCAGTCTAAATCAATGATTCCCAACCAGGAGTATGCACACCTGAGGATGAATTTCGTATTTAGGGTACACAAAAAAAAAAAAAATGGCTGATGTACTATAATTTAAGAATATTCAAATTCTGCATTGAGGCCTTTGGTGACATCATGGCACTCAATACTTAGTTTTAAATAAAAATATATTTTTATATTTGTGTGTCCTACCAATGCTTTTTTTTTTACATGTAATTGTACATTGCTGTATAATTGATTAAAGATGCCATTGATGAACATGCAAAACTTAGGAAAATGGGCTGCCAAGGGGTACACAAGTCAAAAAAGATTGGAAACTGCTGGTCTGGATAAAACTTATTGTTCCTTTTGCTCATAGGAAAGCATTGAGTGGTTTTTCTGAGCCTCTTCTCTGTAATAAAAGGGTACAGTTTTCCTCCTTGGTCAAGTACCTTCTGGTATTACTTGACTAGCCCTTATGGATTTTGCATCTTGAGATGGTGCTATATAGTCAAGGCATATCTTCTGGTTATGTAAAGGCACTTTTTGCAAATCTGGTCTGCAACCATGCATTTTCTTTTTGACTTTTTACTATGGTGGTTTGAACCAAACAACCTGTTTTGCTGAAATTTGGTGATCCAGGGGTTTTGCAAAGACTATCAGATAAGGATGAAAAACCTATAGCATACTGCATGCCTTACAGAACTAGTGGTGGCTATATCTATGATTCCATGTATTGTAGTTCTATTGGGCTTTCCCATCACCTGTTTATTCCAGCTGAAGTAAGGAAAGGTCTCAAGTGTAATGTCATATGACACAAATTTTAGTCAAAGTACATTTGTCATTGGCTTTACTGAGAGACAAGAAGAAGAAGACATCTTTTTGATGAATTCAGACAAAATGTTTCCATGGTTTTGACAGGCATTATCTGGTCTCCTTTTCTGCTCAACTGGCATATAAATAGGGTAACTTTTCATCCACAGAATATAGTCTCATTTACAAACAGATTGATTCAAAATTAATAGTGGCAGAAACGCTGCCATTTGTGGAAACAGTCGAGCAGAGTTTTTTGTGTCACTGGGCAAGTTTCCTACTGTGTTTCAAGCAGAGTTGCTAGCTATTGTTTGGTGTGTTTGTACTATTTTACACTCTTAATAAGGCTATCTATATTAAGGCAGCCTGACTTTTAGAAACAAACATATTTCATTCTTGTCAGCTTACTTAGGCACTTGTTTGGAGGTGTTGATAGCATCTCAATGGTTTGTCTATCCACAACAGTTTTTCTCTGGTGGTGCCAAGACATTGAAGATATTGCCATCAATATAGCAGCTGATTTACTGGTCAAGCAGGGAGCTTTATATTCTTTGTGGAGTCAAATCAACTCTTAGTATTTCTTTTAATACTTTTTTAGTGCTGTTTAAGTAGTGGGGATAATTCCAATCATTTTAAAACTGGACTAACTCCCAATTTAAAGCAAAGTAAGAATTTATGTTTAGCCTATCCTTAGTTTGCCCAAAGGATTTTATACTTTTTTTACAAGAATCATGTTTTGATTGATATTGTACAGACATTTATGAGAGTGACTTTGATCACTTTCATAAATGTCTGTACCAATTGAAACTTTTCTCCTCAGCCTTTTGCCACTTTAACAGATTCCTCTGCAGATCTTTGCTTGAGAAGACTCATTCAATCTGAGTTCTTAATTGAGCATGGCATCTCTCAGCTTTAAAGAGCTCAGACAGCAATCTCCAAAGAAAGAGTTGAAAAGTAATTTTTTGTGGGACACACACTGGATATTTTAAGCCAATGCACTTTGACCTAAAAGCCTCCACTTGCACAATAACAATAGTACTCCAATCACTATAGCTGATTCTCCTACAATATTACAACAACAGATTTTGTTGACATGTGATCTCTCAAAGAAAAAATTCTAAAATTTGTAAGTATATTTAAATAATTATTTTATTCCACATAATGTACAAATTCATAAAAAATGACAATTATTATATTCTATAAAAATAATGATTCGAGAGATTCATGATGAACATGTCACAAAAAAAAATACAATGCACTCAGTGTAAACAGTGTAGTGCTAGCAATCGCGTGAGAGAAGTGGACGGATTGTCTGAAATACAACTTAATTATTCATTTACAAATACTAGAAACCTCAAAAATCACCTGCATTTGGTTAAAATACATAAATATTGCTTTTTTTTTTTAAAGTGTTAATATAAATTATTCTATTTTAACAACTATGCTTATGTTTAATTACATAATTATCAAAATAATGATATGTATCATCTTGGCTAATTGTTATTTACAATTCGTTAATTTTATAAAATATGTACAGATCTATAATATTTTCTTTGTATAAAAATGTTAAGTATATAATTAAATAAATTTGCAATACACTTACATATCATCACATTTTGTATTAAAAAAATGATTTTTTGATGATACTCTTATGATAAAATTTTCTGAAGCAGGAGCTCGATATTGATGACGTCCCAGAGATTCTTTGTTTTATGTAAATGTCAAGTTTCTAGTATTTTATGGCTGGCAAAATTATAACTGCCAATTAAATATTAACAATGATAGAATACTAATTAAAGAGATACTTAATTCTATAGAACTGGCAGCGGCCCTACAGTCGACGATTTTCATGGCCTGCACGAAGTCGTAACCCAAATATTCGTGATAATTACGTTTGTGCAAAGGAACTTCCACCAACTGTTGAGTGGCATCTTGAAAGATCAGGTCACTGTAACTGCTGTCAGAAACAAACATTTTGAAGGTGAAATCTTCGCTATACTTAGATCCATAGTATTGTTGAGCATGTAAAAAAAGATCGATGTAGGATCTAGTTACATTGGGTGGGTTGTTTCTGTTTGTGACCATTGCATTTGAGGCAACTTTACCAAGATTGCAACTTTCGTACTCGTGCTGTTTTGCTCTGGTGCCATCTCTACACAACAGTTCAAAATCGCCGGGCATCATGGGGCGGGCCCACCATTCGCGATTTTTCCCCGCGGTATTTTCTAAAACCGTGGTGTGTTTCACGAATGCAATCTCTCCACCCCCTTCCACCAGACAACGTAGGGCACCCGTATTACCATAGAAAGGTTCGGAAGAATCTCTGCTACAATAACTTGCACCGGTTCCGTGACACAGGTCACATAAATTGGCATAACTCCAATCGGCTACAGTATATTCCCTGGACAGAACACCCGGAATGCAACTTTTTTGAAAGAATTCTGCTGCAGCATGTGCCGAATTGCATCCATAAGATCGCATTCTTTCGTTACTTAAAAGAAAACTCATTGGTATGACCCAACCTGCTGCCAAACCCACACCAGTATGACAAGATCTTTTTCCTGGATCAAGAGGGAGAAATTAATACTTATCATTTTAAAGATTAATGTCTAGTCAATATTAAAAAAGAAAACAAACCTTTTAAGTATAATAGATCTGTATCTTTATCAGGCTGCTGTGCAACTGCTACAACATAATAAGATGGCTCTTGTAAATCATACTGTTCAGCTATAATTGGTACCAATCCAAGTGCACTGTAAAATGAAAAAAATTTCGTTTAGAAAAGTAAATTAAGCTCTTCAAGATTATTGCAAATTTTTAAAGTCAGATCTCTGTTTCTGCATAATACATGCAACAGAAAAACACATTAATTACTATATTTTTTGAAATATAATATGCAATACAATCATGAAAATTGGGGTTTGTGGAAAGTAAAAAGAGTAACATGAAGAGGTAACATTGGAGAAAAGAAGCTGAAAGTAGTGGGTGAGATAAGATGACTCAGAGAAGCTTATTGAAAATGATCTTATGTAGAAAGCCAAGTTGTCATCGTTATCCATCAGTTTATCAATTAGACTATCACACAGTAAGATAATTTATTGTAATTATCATCCTGTCATTGCAAGAAATCTTTGTGGTATGATTCAGAGTTGGGACATTATTCCCAATCTTCATACATGTATCCAACACTGTTGCAGATTGAATTTATCCATAATAAGCAAAACTGAGACAACCTTATAAACTGTAATGTGTTTGATGTATCAAATGACTATAAACAAATTAACCAATGCATTTTTAATTTGAAGGATTACTAGTTTGAACTTTATCCTATTCATTTTTGTATAAACAACAAAAATTAGCAGCTTTTCATCATATCAATTAAGTAATTTCTTGGAAGGGCAAAGAGTTTTTTAAAACATAAATAAAAAGTTATAAACTGAAGAACAGTTAAAGTTGAACTTTAACTTACATAATTAATATAACCTGTTTAGTCATTGCTAACACATTTCATCTTCAATCAAGGAACCAATCAGTTTGTTCTTCCAAAACATTTTTGGTAGTGATAATGATCTAAAAAATTTGACTTTTACTAGTGTAAAAGTTGAATTTTTTAGATTATTTTTTAAGGTAAAATTTATGGGGTTAACTATTATATGGATACAACTTTTGAGGGGCTGAAATTCAAGCTAGAATCCAATGTACCAAATCAGTATCAGAAGCCCAACTGATTTCTAAATGAAATGTTTTCTTCTCAAAATTTCATATTTCTTGAATGATTTTACAACAGTGTCAACTTTTAGTTCCTTCCATGAATCAACGATCCATTCACAGATCAAAAGCAATGATGGAGCCCTCACGATGCCTCCCTTTGTGTATGTTTTTTTTCTTCGCAGTTGTTGTTCAGCACAGAGGACAGTCACTCATTTACTTGCAAACTGGAGTAGTTGTGGAGACAGATAAGAGTCTTATGGCACTTACAAGACAATGGTGCTGGAGAAGAAGAAGATGTGTCTGTCAAGAAGAGCAGGCGATCCGGGTTAGTGCTTCGATGGCACTGTGGATACTGGCAGACATTTCATTCACTAAACAACATAGATTTGTCATGCAACACAATTAACAAGGAACTCTCCTTTTGACCTTGAGATTCAGGGTTTTTATTGATTTTCTACCCAAATCCCTTATTTTGATTAGTCCTAATTTCCTTGTCTCACTTTTTGGTCTCTCTCCACGTAAATACAGATTGGTTCAGGTTGCAATTAAGGTCTGCTTTGGATGATCTACCTGACACCATCCTTCAACTCTGACTGGGAACTGTTGATACAACCAAGAAACTTGTACTTGTATTTTAGCCCATTGTTAAAATTCTAAAATGTCAGAATTAAGGAAATAATCTCAGATGATGTCTCCTTGACTGTCAAACTTTCTCCTTTTCCCAATTAACCCTAACTTCAATCTGTTGTATATGAGTATTGGTGTCAGAGTTTCATCTTTCCAGGTTGACATTCATCTATGATCTAACATGTGCGAGTTGCCTAGAGACTCCTTGTTTATCTCCATGTTGCATTTATTTTGATAACTACAGAATTTTTCCTCTCTTTCTTACATAACTTTCATTTGGTTTTTGTTTTAACAATTTCTGTATAGTCAATGCAATTAACATGATTTTGGACCCTGTCTGGGACCTCACAAATGGCTGCACAAGTAACACACCTTCCATCTTGATGATTTTCAAGTGCCCACTCTGCAACTTTGTGGCCACTTGCTATGTTTTCTTTTTCTATTTTCATTTTGGTATTGTCTGAAGTTTGTTTCATATCTTTCTCTAGTCTCTCACAAGTTTCTCCAACACACAAAATTCCCCTGCTGCTACATAGTTATTTGTCTTCTCGGCAACTTCAAACACTTTTAGTTTAAATGTTACCATATATTTGTTATTTTTTCTGGAGGGCATTTTTATGTAAAATGACAGAGAAATTTTAAACTGTAGTTGTAGATTTGTGTGTGTGTTTGCACCGACATGTCACGCGTCATTATGTTGATGGCACCTCTGCTGAGATGACCCCTGCCTCTGTCATTTCTGGCCATAATTTATTATTATTCATTAGATTGTTTTAGTAAAAATTTTTCTTGCTCCAATATCCAACAGCATCCAAAATACTGTATATTTTAGATCCAAAATGCATGAATATTGCAGATTGAGTTAATGAAACGCATTTTAGAAAATATCTACTGGTAGATGGTGTTCTTACAATTGTTAATGGAATTATGAAATTGGCAAAAATCCTCATGATGATAAAGCAGAGTCAGAATGGTGCTTTTCAACATTGTAAACAATATAAACTTTTATAAAGAGCACTACTTATCCTGAAAAACTAGATGCACTTGCAGTGCCTTCAATGGAAAAAATTCTGGCAAATGTTGACCTGTTGTCCATGAAATACTAGTGTAGACTTAGGGACCTATGGAAAATTCCAGGATTTTTGGCCAAAAATAGGGGATCAACTATTACTCAAGTATATATAGTACATAAATTATCTTTAATCAATATATTTTAGTTTTAAATAGAATTGTTTAAATATTAAATCATTTAAAATTACATTTCTCAACATTCAAAAAAAAAAAAATAATAATAAAAGAAACACTAAAATAAATTAAAAGTAACTTCATATTTCATCCCTACCTACACCTCAAAAACATAAAAGGTTGACTCTGACATGAGACTATTATGTTCCTTAGGAAGTCACTTAAAAGACAGAAGAAACCATGGAGTAAATTATGTTTCTGAGGTGTAGGAAGGGATGAAATATGAAGACACTTTTAATTCATTTCAGTGTTTCTTCTATTTTTTGTGAATTTCAAGTGTTCTTGTCATTATGACTTTTTACTAACGTAATATTTATCGTTTAAATCTTTCATTCCATGAGCAATTTTTAAAAAAAATTATTTTTGGAATACATATATCGTATTTAGGCGGATGTTTTTTATCCAAACAATTAGAAGACATTTGCATACTTAAAGTAGGATTTTGATTATGAATCTTTGTGCATTTCAGGCTTTAATGTGGATTGTTGTTTGGAATAGAGCATTGTAGCTACATTAAGTGGCATTATACATTGCTCTTAACTACATTAAAAATAGCTGAGAATCTATTCATTATTATTTGAAAATACCTAAACTGCCATTTAAAGGTCCGTCGTAAGTACAAGAATTGTAAATTGACTGCCTTTTAAGTCAAAGAATATCTGCTTTAAAATAATAATAATAGTAAAAAGTACAAGTTTAGAAAATTTTAATGAAATGATGTAATAACTTACTGTCCTGCATGATAAATATCACCCGCATCTAACACTGTTAAATCTGCTTGACCATCCTTGATCAACTGCATACAATCTCTTTGACTGTGACCAGTTATGCAAACTAAGTCAGGTTTCAACATTTTTGCTCTAAATGCTGTCTACATGTAAAAGAAAAAATTTATTTTAAATAAAATAAATGCTTATATAGAAATATTAGTTTTGTAAACAATAAACATATAAATTGATAACTTACTCTCATCTTATTGCATTTCTTTTGTTCTGCGACTGACACTACACATAATTTAGCAGGTGGAACGGGACATTTTTGTAGTTTTTTATATAAATCTTGCTTTATTCCTAAGAAGAGAATAATTACAGAGAATTTACTTGTAAAGTTTAAATAAAATTTTCACACAGATGTAAACAACTCACCAAGATATCCAGCAAATATCTGTTTGGTGGCATCTAGAGCAACTAAATTAGTAGTTGTGTCTAGAAACAGAAGATTGGTGCTGTTTTTGTATAGATCGCGATCATCTCCGGTTCCCGATTTGAATAGTTGAAAAGATTTTTCAGACACACTGTTTGATGAAAGGCTTCTTCTATTGTAAGGGTAATAGTTAGAACCTCCTCTATATGAAGCATTGAAATGAGAAGGAGGAGGAGGAGGATAATCGGGATTCCAGTTGCTAGAATACGGATTATTTCTACCAAATAACTTAACTGCAAGCTGAAAATGTTTTTAGAAATATATTAATTAACACAACTCATTACTATTTATTAAATAACTGAAATGTCAGTGCAACCTTTAAAAATCTTTGGTATCTTTTTCTTGTTTCTGGCAGGAGAACGGAACTAACTGCAACAACATGAGCAGGTACATAACCCCAATTACACGAACGAAAGTCGTCGACAGGAGCGGACGTCTCTCTTCTATTGAATGGGCAGACTAGTTTAAATTCGGATGCAGGAGGTCCCCTGTAATTGCGCTGACTTGTCATTTCACGAACGGTGCTGTCTTTTAGAAAAGCTACCTCTCCATTATTCAACAAACAATTAAAGGCACCTTCGAAATTAGCATATTTATTGTTTCCACTGCAACGGTTACTCTTTTTACCTTCGCAGAGTTCGCACATCTTTTGAGGATTGTCACCTTAAATAAAAATTAAATAAACTTAAACATAAACAAATTAATTTGTAATCACAGCAATTAAAACAGAATTTGACAACTAAGCCTCAAATCAACCCAGTATTCAATTTGGCTCTTTGAATACATTATACACATCAGACATGCCAATGTTATCTTATGGTTGGTTGTACAAAGATGTCAGACTCTGTTTTAGCTGCAAATCCCATATAATAATTAAAATTTTTGCTCACAGAAACTTCACTCACCTGTCGGGTTATATTTATCAATTAAAGAATTAGGAGTGCAACTAGGACCGAAAAATTCTGCTGCAGATTTAATTATATTATTGCAATACTTTATTGGCAACACGTCCTCTTCTATTAATCTTGCTATAGGAATTATCCATCCTCCCAGCTGCCCCACCGAAGGAAAACAGACTCTTTTACCTTCTAAATCTCTCAAATAATCTAGCCGAGTAGAAATCCTCGTAACTGCAACTGCATAATATCCATCTGTTTCTTCTATAAAATTTAAAAAAAATTTTAATTGAAATATCCAATTTTAAAACAAACATTAATTTAAACTTTTGTATTTGATTAACTTATGTTGCATATAAAATTAACACTTGTAAATGCTTATTTTAAAAAACCTAATGGACTTCAGCAATTATTATAACCATAAAAATCTATATAAAAAGTCATTATAAGAACTTAACACTGGAAAAATTGAGAATTATATAAAAATTTTTAAAATAAAGTGATATTTAATCATTAAAAATTATTATTATTATTAGTTAACAGAAAATATATCAGATACAAATAATTATGGACATTAATATTAAACATATTTTTATATTGTGTCTCCTGTCCCGGTCCTGTCCGAGAATAAGCAGTTAGAAGACATAGGACTGTTCCAGCTTCCATATTCTAGAATGATCATTGCATACAGTCATCCAACAGCATGTTGAGATATATTTGAGGGCAGAAACCTTTGTAAACTCTCTCTCTCACTCTAGAGGTTAGGCATGCGGCATAGTGACTAGTTTGATCACCTTTACCGATAGATTTATATGTTATCCGCATTTAATCATTTAATTCTTTATGTATGCTCCTGTAAATTAGATTAGTTATATAATAAACTCCTTATTTGTTTGTTTAACCTGTGAACCTGTCTATCATTGCTTGCACAGACACCTGTTGACTTTCTCAACTCCCTCGCCACTCGATAAAAAGCCATCAGTGATGCTATGAACGGATCTCGCTGATCCAACAATTAGAGGGCTCTGTCCCTTCGCCCGTATTCTCACAAAACCACCTTTTGAAAAAATGAACAAAGTTGTACAAATGATTAATTCATAAATCAAATTTAATCCAATACAATTCATTAATTTCAAAAGACAAGTATAAATCTTTTGTGAATATATGTATAAATTTCTCTTAAGAATTCAGACACGGAATCTTAAGAATTTGAAGAAATATAACTAAAGCTATCAGGCTGACAATGTTTCTTCATAAGAACAAATATTGCCAGCTGATATCTTAGTCCTCATATCTACAAAATGTTTATCAATTTTGAAAATGGTTATTGTAGAAATAATTCACTACTGTATTAATAATTTTCAAAATTAACAATTCATCCACAAGCATTTTTATATGCTCAATTCTCAAGGACCATTTGAGGTTCTCAATGTCCTGTTCCGCTACATACTGTCAGTTTAACCAATATACCTCGCAATGATCTAATGAAAACTTTGATTTGTGATAAAATTTGATGTTTTTCCATTGATCAAGAACAAACAGAATTGTGAGATGGCATTACATGTTCTGTATTTAATGCAAGAGCTCAATCAACTTATCTTGTACAAATGTAAAATGGAGAATATTTGAGCCATGAATGATAAACTCAACAACAAATGGAAAAAAAAAAATATGAGGTTTTATATGGAGAAAAATTGCAAATGATTTGTTTCCTGGAATAATAGATAAGAATTAAGCATATAAAATAGGCCTAATTCAAATAAGTTCACTATATAAAACCTATGATAGATATTGCTCGATTTAACAAATGATAAGTAGCAACTAACTTTGAATATACTGTATCTAAATTGTGGAATATGGCATGTGTAAGCAAGCATCAAATAGGACTCCATGGATTCATAATTATCAAATACACTATAAACTGTTGAACAGTAACCTCAACAAAACAGCCGTGTCTAATAAAAATGGGTTATAAACCAGCCTTTATTCATTCCTCTGTATTACAAAAAATTTTAAATTAAGTGTTTTTAATTGAGAACTTGACAACGAAATAGCAGAATAATAAATGCATCATCTTTCCAAGATGTCTTTAAATGCTGAGTATGAGTCCTGGGGACCTAATCCTAATTTATAGGATGTTGAAAGTGTACCTGAAACAAACTTGTGCAGTGAAAGGTCTGATTAAATGAGTTTGTTCTAAACAACACTTACAACACATTTGTGTGTTGCTACACAGACAATTTAACACTAAGCGTCCCAGTCAAATCATCAAACTTTTACAGTAATTTTATCCAGATGTGTCAGGTCTTATTTGGCAACTAGCCTCACCAATCTACATTGGGTACAAAAACTTGGCCAAACCCACAACAGGCACAAAAGCAAATAATCTTAAGCCATGTAGAAAGAGTTTAAAATGTCACTGTGACTATAGCATGCAATTTGATTATGCTCCTATTGATATAAGTTACATGCATTTCATACTGAACACTAACCTATCTTCAGTTAACAATTATTAACTTCAAAACATTTTCAGCCTTTCTAAGGCCATCCCTAATATACAATTCTCTCCAGTGCACAAGCAAAAAGACTGATTTTAAAACACCAATTGTTCCACAAGCAGAAATATTCTTCCAAAATTTAAATTCAATTTTTTAAAGGTGAATGTTTATATGGAGTGTTCCATCCAAACTTCCTTTCCAAATTCTTTTCTGAATATCGAGAATTCAAACTTAGGGTTCGAAAAATCAGTAATATAAATGCACAAGATGACTGCAACCACCATATAAACATAGATAAGAAAATAAACTCAAAAGACAAAAAATAAATATAAGCAATCAACATGTATACTTCAAAGACAGCTTTCCAAGTCATGGAAATAATTGCAATCTTTGATGTAGTTTGTGTTTTTCTCAGAGAAATAAATTTACACCTGTTTTAAGAGCTTTAAGTCCCCTCTTTCCCTCACCAACCATATCAAAGCTGCTTCATGTAGCAGTGCCTCTATTTCCAGATCTGTTGCCCAAGTTAGCTAGATAAGTATTATGCAAGCATTTATATCAACTGCATGCACCCTTAGTTTTGTCAAGAGAGAGTGGAAAGTCACTCTAGCATATTCCATATTCATACTAAACCTCATGTCAACTACTGATATCCTGTACATGCCCAGTATCCTAAAGGAAAATATGCTAAGTATCCTAAATTTAATAAGGATACATACTGCATAGAGAATCCCAACGGGCAGTCCATCTTTAAAAATCAAATAGTTCTATATGCAAGATATACTGATAGTATCTTGATCAATTAGAACAGGGGTTCTCAACCTTTTTTTTACCCATGGACTCCTTTTCTTCTTAATTTTTTTTGTGGACCTCCATAGATTGCACAGCAAAAAACCTTATATGTTTTTGTTACATTGTTTCAAATTGGAAAAATATTTTAATACTGAAGCTCTGAATTTCAGAAAAAGTAACTATGGTATTTATGAACTAGCACTTTTAATACCTCAAGATTGAGTTTTGCACAGAACTGAAGGTTAGGGTTAAAATAAACCGATTACCTTTATACTGGAGGGAGGCTATAAAGTTTATAGCCTCCCTCCCTAATCTTTAAGATCTGGAACAAACTGATGCAAAACGTTCAGAAATGTCACTGTCAAGTGACATGATGCTGATGGTATAAGATTCTCCTAACAGACCTCAGTTTTATAATCTCTCTTTGATTTTTGTCAATGAGATATATATGTCATTTACATATTCAATATTTTAAATAATTTATATTTTAACCCTTATGCAAGAAATGAGTGATAAATAAATTGACAATATATATACTGTAGAAATTTCATTTTCAGTAAAACAATTGTTCTGAAGTAGAATTACCCTACAGGCCACTAAAATATCACCGTAAACCCCCAATTCGGTATTTTTTTTCTGTGGACCCCAGTTGAGAACTCCTGATTTAGAACAAGAGACACAACACTGATGAGTTCTTAAGCATGATCAACAATAACCCTTACTGATTACAGATATAAAATTAATAACCTAGAGGCTTTTCTAGACATAAACATAACGAAATCAATTTACCAAAAATGGGAAAAGCCAACTCCTCCATATTCCAATGATATCCTGCAACCTACTACAAAATAAAGCAGCAGCCCTCTAGATCTTAATAAGGAGTACTTTTACTCAATGTAGAAACATTCAAGACATGCAAGAAAATATCACATATTAAAGAGGTTGGTACACAAATTAATGGAAACCCTAATAATTTAATTAATCAACTCACCAGTGCCTATGCCAACAATAAGAAAATAATACAAAAAGGAGAATCTAGCACAAGTACAGCCATGTCCTATAACCCTGCCTTCAATCATCTATGTAAGGCAATAGCGAAACAGAATAAAAGTAAATTATGCTTTAAGAGGAACCAGACAATATACCAGTTGCTACACAATGAAAAGGATCCACAATGCACCTTTAGAATACCATTAGTTGTCACGGGGTTCACTATGAGTAGGGAATATGTTGGAACAAATGTCATTCAAACAGAAATTTCAATAAAAATTATTCATTGTTGACAATTTTGAATTTGAACTCTTGAAACAATATAACTGACAAATGAAACAATGAAAATTTGAATACACATTCCAGGATATCAGTTGCTTGCATTTAGTTGTGCATCTTCATAAACTTTCACTGATAATGGTCTTAAAAAGGCCAAAAATGTTGTTAATATTCATGTATATTGACTGAAGATAAATGTTAGTGCTACTTTGGCCACAATTTAACGGTACACAGCAAATTCTAAAAATCATAAAATTTTATTATTATTAATTTATATACATGTTGGTAGGATTGTCAAATATCTAGGTTGTATACTTTTCAGAAAAATGCATCTTTTGCCACAGCAGTTTATTTTTCTGCAGAAATTTTTTAAACTCTGTACAACTATATTGCAGTATATTTTGTGATATTAATAATTATTTATATTATTATTCATTCTGAAAACTCTATTTATAGCAATACATATAGGGATTCTAAAGAAAAAATTTTCTGAAATTTTTTGAAATAAGACATTTTTTTGGGAAATCCTGGAATATGAGAATTTTGGCATCCTTGCAAAAATTACTGGGACAACAGGGCAGGGTTCAAAATACAGAACAGTCTCATACAATATGGGACATATGGTCACTTCACTTCAAGTAAATTTTTAAGACTAACCATTCATCCAAAAGTACTTAGATTTAATTTAATTATTGCTATAATTTAAAATATTTGGTAGCAGAGGAAAATAATCTTATCAACTTATAGCATCTTATAAATTTTAATAAAAACAAATCATTTGCATACAAATACTTAAAGATTTGCAATATCTGCATTCACATTTTGAAACTTGTCTTTAGTCTAAATATATTTATCATTGGAGATGAGAGAATTGCTTCAATCCTAGAACATAAAAATAAAACCTTAGGATATAGAAAAATATACTTCTAATAACTGAATGTTTATTTTAGTCGTATACAGATATCCCTTGATTAATGCAGTTAATTAATCTCACGATGCTACCATGTATATCAAAATTGCATTAATCAAATAAAGTATCTATGTTGTGTAAAGACAACTGGTTAAGCCACATTAATTAAAACTTCTGCCATGTATATAAAAGAATTTCACATGTTAATGAAATTCCATGTTAAGCAAAACCACATTAAGCAATGGATACCTGTATATATGTTTTCCTGGCATTTAGATATTTTATTTGCTAGTGATGATTATAAACATCATGAATGAATCTTCTGAGATGTTGCCTCTTGAGCTCTTTTACCATTTTCAAAAAGAAATACTTCTAATACAAACTAAGCTAAAAAAGCAATATCTAATGGATTTTTTAGTTATTCAAATAACCACTTAAAAGGTTTTCTTGGGATGAAGATACAGTCCTCATCTGTGATGTCCAGTGGCGTGTGTGACATTTGATGATAGGGAAGCTGTGTTTCTGTAAGAAACCGACTTTCAGGAGCAATCAGTCAGTGATGGTCTAGGCCTCTAGGGTCCATTCGTATTCGTTTGTTCGATAAGCCAGTAAAAACCGTAGACTTCACTAAATGTATTTTTAATTAATAGATTATCTAACGCACTTAATATATAAGCAAGTTCAATATAATTAACTTTCTTATATTAGATTTAATAGATTCTATACGCCCTCTAAATGCCAATTCTTGCTTTGATAAAATTTACTAATTTAAATATATTATATCTATTAGCTGTAACTCCCCCAGAGTGGTAGGTTGCCACCTTGAACGCTCGGCCATCCGGCCGCATTGAATAGACTAGTGACTAGTATAATGTTATTTGTTTAATTATTGTACGATATAACGAATAAAATATCTAATTATTCTCAATATAATGTTTTACTATATCGCCCAGAAAATTGTTTTTCGCCCCCAAAATATAAATTGTTACTAATCGCCCCCNAATCAACTCACCAGTGCCTATGCCAACAATAAGAAAATAATACAAAAAGGAGAATCTAGCACAAGTACAGCCATGTCCTATAACCCTGCCTTCAATCATCTATGTAAGGCAATAGCGAAACAGAATAAAAGTAAATTATGCTTTAAGAGGAACCAGACAATATACCAGTTGCTACACAATGAAAAGGATCCACAATGCACCTTTAGAATACCATTAGTTGTCACGGGGTTCACTATGAGTAGGGAATATGTTGGAACAAATGTCATTCAAACAGAAATTTCAATAAAAATTATTCATTGTTGACAATTTTGAATTTGAACTCTTGAAACAATATAACTGACAAATGAAACAATGAAAATTTGAATACACATTCCAGGATATCAGTTGCTTGCATTTAGTTGTGCATCTTCATAAACTTTCACTGATAATGGTCTTAAAAAGGCCAAAAATGTTGTTAATATTCATGTATATTGACTGAAGATAAATGTTAGTGCTACTTTGGCCACAATTTAACGGTACACAGCAAATTCTAAAAATCATAAAATTTTATTATTATTAATTTATATACATGTTGGTAGGATTCTCAAATATCTAGGTTGTATACTTTTCAGAAGAATGCGTCTTTTGCCGCAGCAGTTTATTTTTCTGCAGAAATTTTTTAAACTGTACAACTGTAATGCAGTAAATTTTGTGATATTATAAATTATTTATATTATTATTCATTCTGGAAAACCCTATTTATAGCAATACATATAGGGATTCTAAAGAGAAAATTTCCTGAAATTCTTTGAAATACAAGACATTTTTTTGGGAAATCCTGGAATATGAGAAATTTTGGCGTCCTTGCAAAAATTACTGGGACAACGGCTGGGGTCAAAATACAGAATAGTCTCATACAATATGGGACATATGGTCACTTCACTTCAAGGTAAATTTTTAAGACTAACTATTCATCCAAAAGTACTTAGATTTAATTTAATTATTGCTATAATTTAAAATATTTGGTAGCAGAGGAAAATAATCTTATCAACTTATAGCATCTTATAAATTTTAATAAAAACAAAGTATTTGCATACAAATACTTAAAGATTTGCAATATCTGCATTCAATTTTGAAACTTGTCTTTAGTCTAAATATATTTATTATTGGAGATGAGAGAATTGTTTCAATCCTAGAATATAAAAATAAAACCTTAGGATATAGAGAAATATACTTCTAATAACTGAATGTTTATTTTAGTCGTATACAGATATCCCTTGATTAATGCAGTTAATTAACCCCATGATGCTACCATGTATACCAAAATTGCATTAATCAAATAAAGTATCTATGTTATGTAAAGACAACTGGTAAAGCCACTACATTAAAACTTCTGCCATGTATATAAAAGAATTTCACATGTTAATCAAATCCCATGTTAAGCAAAACCACATTAAGCAACGGATACCTGTATATATGTTTTCCTGGCATTTAGATATTTTATTTGCTAGTGATGATTATAAACATCATGAATGAATCTTCTGAGATGTTGCCTCTTGAGCTCTTTTACCATTTTCAAAAAAAAATACTTTTAATACAAACTAAGCTAAAAAAAGCAATATCTAATGGATTTTTTTAGTTATTCAAATAACCACTTAAAAGGTTTTCTTGTGATGAAGATAGTCCTCATCTGTGATGTCCTAACTCCTACAGTTACCAGTTCAAACTTCATTTTTCAACAGCCAAATGGCCTAGTAGTTAAAATGTCGGCCTATCAATTTGTGGGGTCCAAGAACAAATCTGGTTGGGTTGAAACCCAACCAGATTCATTCTTGGACCTAAGGAATTTTCTCAAAGATAGTCTATCCCAGATATGTTGGATTCTGTCTCTCATTACCCAGCCACCCCATTGTTGGCCTGGCTGAACCCATAATAAACTTGATAAAAAAGCCAATTAGTGCCCAAAAGGTAGATAGAGTAAAAAAAAAAAAAAAAAAACACTTAATTTTCCAAGAATATAACCTTGATTTATAAAGTTAACCCAAGGAATTATGATGGAAAGTTTAATAGGTTTTCCTGGAATCAGTTACATTATAAAAGCTAAAAGCTACTGTATAAATTGTTTGTAAAATACAATCAAATATTTAAGAGAGTAGTCACTGACATTTCTTAATAGATGTTACAACCTTCAATATCTTTCTAATATGTTATGTAAGGATATTTATTCTTTGACTCCTTCCTTCATACAGGAATAAGCAAAAATGGTAATTTAAGCATCAGACATCTGATGGATAAGAATATGTTTATAAAATCTTATCTAATTTTGATGTATGCACATTTACTATATTGAAGATGAAAATATAGTTGTAAGCTTCTTGCCTCTAAACAGTTAATTTAATAATTATTTCAAGTAACCAGTTGGTAGAGATATGAGGCTTGTTAAACTTCAATGGAGACAAGTAATTGAGATTACATCTTGTTTCCATTGCAGTTTAATAAGCCTCATATCTCTACCAACTGGTTACTTGAGATAATTATTAAATTGAGATAAAAATAGTTTACAATCTTGAAGTTTTCGCAATTATTAATATTTTCTTTTTGGAATTATATCACTTGTAATAACTCTAAATACCCTGGAAAAAGACTGTCAGATAAAGACAGACATATTAAACAAAAAAATTTTAGTATTATATTATCTTCTTGTCTTCAAGTTCATTCAGGCAGTTGCATTGAGGATTATAACTGCTAAGCTCCATCAAGATCACAAGAAGAAAAACAATACTAATCTAATGATCTAATATTATTAAGCATAGAGTAAAAATCATAGAATATCTTTTTGTGTCACTATCAAGAATATCATCTAAGACACAAAATTCCCTGAAAACTTATGGAAACTTTTACACAAATAAGACATCTTAGACAATGCACAAATTGCATATGACATAAAATCTGCCACTTTTTCGTGTACAGTACATGGGCAATAAACTATCAATATCTAATTGTAAAGTGCATAAAATCTGCCTTATTTCAATTAAGAATTAAGAGAGTTAAATTTGTATATAGATTCTTTTATCAATCTACTAAGCAATCTGTAATACGAACAATTCTCCAGATTCTAAAAGAAAGTGCAATCATCACGGATCCTCGACCGAGGGAGTCCATCCTCAATCCGAAAGACAGGTTTATTGACGCAGGACAGTTTCTCACCAGGAAACATCGGAATATCGATAGCAAAAGAGGTACTAAAGAATTTGTAAATTTATATATTTTGTTATTCACATTACTTAGCATATAAATTTTCTTTCTGCAGAAACAAAATTTATATGCTAAGTAATGATATCTTTCATAAATTTACATGTGACTGTTACATTTATTTTAGAACTATATTCACATATATATATATATATACGTATAACAGTTATTTAGGTTGAACTATAAAATAAAAATCAGGATTATCATAGAACATACAAAATAATCATCATCCAAACTACCGGGATGCGGAACACGCCCAAACTATGAACACAACGTAGTTTAACACTCCAAATTCGACCGATCTCTGGCGAGACATTAAACAATCTCTAATGCACGTTAAAAAATATCCGGCATACAAACCCGGTCCGTATCTTTCCGCCACGATCGGCACGAGACTGTGATACCGTCCGGCCACGAACAACTCTCCGGGATCCAGAGTGACCATGTCCGCCTTTCTCCTGTCGATCCAGCCCATGCACTGGTCCTTATCCGCGGCTTCCTTACAGAGAAGTTTGACATTAAACTTCTCCCTCTCCTCCAGGTCCACTCTCTCCACCTCGCTAGCAAATTTCTGGCATTTCTCCTGTTCCATGTGACTTACGGTGCACCACGTGATTTCTATTCTATCTTCAGTTTTAACTAAATAAGAAATTTAATAAAAATTGTTTTAGAAAATTGTCAATTTTATAGTTAACAATTCAAAATGCTCAATGACAACATTTAAAGCCTGTTAGAAAGTTATCAGTTTCAAGTTGTATGTAAACAACGTGTCAATCTTATCTGTTTCAACTGCTAGGTATCCAAACAAATGTTTTCTTTAAGATAACGAGCGATCGAGACACATTTTTAACCAGTGGGACATCCGGTGTCGAATTCAAATTGTCACCATCACCTTCGGGAATGTAAACGGGTGCAAGAGTAAACAAACATAAGGTGATTAAGGTAAATAAACTCACCATTTTGCACTAAGACGTCGAAAATGATGGATAGGGAAAGGCACAAGAAGAAAAGATGCATTTTTTTGTGTTCAAATCGCTTTCAAAGCAAGGCAACAACAGGTGTGGCGGGGCGCGCATGCGTAAAAGCACGACAGGTGGGCAGCCAGGTAGACTATTACCTGTACACATTCCGATATTCTCCCCATTGTGTCATTTTCCAAATGTCCGAATTTCCTCTCTAAAATCTATTAATTGCAACGAAAATTCTATTAAAGACCGTCTTACATTTTTTCTCGTATTTCCTCATACAGTAATAAAATGGAGAAGGCGATTTTCGTTTTGATTTTTTTTTAAACGGGCGTTTTTTTGTGCGAAAAACCACGTTATCATAACTGAAAAATTCGCCATTAGAGTACCAGTCGACCCCCCTATAACACTGTTGATAATTCCGTTTTATATGAATTCCATGTTGTACGAGTCACTTAGATTTTACAAATACGGGTGCCTGGCTGT